TGAATACGAAACAAGGGGACTCATGATTCTGGAAAAAACCGATATGAAAAGTTGTTTAAAAATTATTTTGCATTGAATAAGCAGACCTTTTAATTTTCGATTTTGTTTGCAGAATTTATATGATTAGTGGTTAGTTGTGACTAATACATTACTAAACTATACTAGTACAGGTACGTTATAGGATTCATAGGCATACTATTTATTATCTTGGCGAAAGTCTATTGATCTAGAGCTCAAAAGAACATTCCAATATATACCAATATACCAACAGAACACAAAATATGGTAGTGGTGAAAGTGATCAACACTCACTATAATAAAATTTTGACTTTGAATTTTTTGGTAAGATTTAAAATTTTATCATCAATCAGTTTTGCTTTAACTAAATGGTAAGTGTTAAGCAATATCAAATCTTATAGTCTTCAACCGAAAGAACATAATTATGCAACATTTGAGTAATACTGTAATGAGAGAAAACTTTCAAATTAAATGAACAGCTTAACAACAAAGCTCCTACTGCAAAGTAAACATAGTTTGTGATGCTCTGGATTTAGCAACATCCCCTTTAACTTTATTTAAAATTCTCGCAACGTAAATTGGAACTTAGCAGGACATCTCTGCAGCGCCTTAAAGTACGATGGACGGAGTGGCCTTTCGTAAATAATTCACTATAAAATAAGACTCTACCATTATGTCGTAATACACGTGGGGTTTTAGGTTAATCTACGTATTAATGGGCGACAATACATAACAAAACAATAACAAAACAACGTGGAGAAAAAAAACATAAAAAAGTGACATTGAATTCAGAAGATATTCATTTATTTCGTAAAGTGGATAAAACTATGTTTGTGGTCCGAAATAATAAGGCTGTATATATATAGTTGGTTGGTTAGTTTCAAAGTGCATTTGTTGCATTTGTTTGAATCATCAGAGCCTACTTATTTGCTTTTACTTAGCACCTTTTACAAGGTACGTTTTTTGGTTTAAATGTTGAGAAAAGTTGGAAAGAGAAGATGGTTTTATTTAATCTGAGTATCGCAGAGAGCGCCCTCTGCAATTTAAATACAAAATACGACTTTCACCTCAATCCCAAAAAAATCCCAAAAGTTCACGCAAAAAATTAGTTCAATTAAGGTAAGTAGAAGTAATCGGTAATTACTTCTGAATTCGAGACTATACCCGGGTTATTATCAACTTTTTACTCAAGAAACCTGTTTTACTGTGTACTAGTAACTATAAGGATATATTATTATTATTATTACAAAGAATAAAGTGCAGAGGAAAACCTATTATGGACATTGATAGTTAATAACATAATACATATAAATATTTAGTTATTGCTGTGATACAATACACTGTCCAAGCGACGTTTAAATACAGACAAGTTGAGCGCAGACACAACATCTGGGGGTAAACTATTCCAATAATCGAAAGTCCTGTTACTTATAAAATGCAGGCGATGTGAAGTCCTGAATTATTCCTTCCTTATTTTAAATGGATGACCACGTAGGCGTTCATCATTGCTTAAGACCACAAGGGGCACGTCAGATGGAAATTGGTCACCTATACATTTGAATGAGATCCCCTCGCAGCCGACGCTGACTTAACGTTGGCACAGTCATGCAATAGCCATGGGTTCCAGACTGGGGAAGCAAAAAGGATGGGGCGAATGTAAGTGGTAAAAAGCCTGCAAGCGATGCGGGACTAGGATTTTTAAAAGTCTTTTTTAACAAAAATAACGCGCAGTTTGCTTTCTTTACAATATTTGATATATGTACAGACCACGCAAGATCATTAGTTACTGTCGCACCTAGGTCCATCTGAGAATCGACACTTGACACAAAGTTTCCATTGATATAGTAATTCAAACCGGGATTGTTCTTGCCAACATGCAGCACAGAGCACTTTTGAGCATTCAGCGGCAATAGCCAAGTTGAACACCACTTGTCAACTCAAGTCTCTCTGCAATACGTCCGCATGTGTTGAACGATTCCAAATAATTTAGTGGCATCAGCATAAGCGCTCACATGAGAATCAATGCTGGAGAGCAAATCCACGGTGTACATTAAGAATAGCACTGGTCCCAGCGCCACAAGTCACGTTTTGTGGCAGTGAAAAAGCGTTACCAATTCGAACTCTGAACGACCGGTGGCTTAAGAGCGCCGCTAGCCACTCTAGCAGTTTACCCTCCACTCCAACCTTTTCAAGTTTGAATAACAACGATGTGGCACTTTGTCGAAGGCTTTGCTGAAGTCGAGATAAATAATATCCACCGGATCACCTGAGTCAAGAGATGATGTCAAGCATGTCAATGTATTTGATATGACAGATCTGCCGGGAACAAAGCCATGCTGCGATGTAGGTATAATATGGCAGTCGACCAAAAACGGAAACAGCTGATTTACTATAAGGCGTTCAAAAACCTTACATATAATACACACTAGGCTGATACGGCGGTAATTTGAAACATCGAGCTTATCACCCTTTTTATAAATCGGTCTTACATTTGCGGATAACCAGTTTGTTGGGAGTGTGGCAGAGTCCAAAGATTTTCTCAAAATAATATAAATAGGCTCTGCAAACACAAAGGCACACGCTTTTAAAATTTTACTGGAAATTCCATCAGGTCCGGGAGCAGAATATTCTTTTAACTCAGAAAGAGTTTTCTTCACGTCCTCTTGGTCAAAGTGAATGTCTTCTAATAAATCTGAATTTATAGGACCCTCATAGTGAGACGGTAGATTAGCTGGTTCATCAGCAAAGACACTAGCAAAATATGAAGCAAATTCATTTGAAATGAAGTCCTGGTTATAGGAGACCTCTCCCGAGGTATCTCTAATGACAGGAAGGGATACCTTAGACGATACATGTTGTCTGACATAAAAATAAAACGCTTTGGGCCGACTGAGGAGGTCATTTTCAAATGCTGACTTCGCCTCTCTAATCTCCAAGGATAAACTATTAGAAACTCTGTGCAAAGCATAATCGGAAGCAGAGCCAGAGGCCTTAAATCTACAACACAGAGCTCTCTTATGTTTTATTTGTTTGAACAAATGTCCAGTTAACCAAGGTTTCTCAGAATTGAACTTCACAAAATGAGTTTTGGAGCTTGTGCCTATGTAATAATACAGAGTAGGCAGAAAATATGTCCACGCATCATTAACGTCGTTATCAGGAATGTTCCATTTATCGTGGGAAAGGTCTATAACTAATCTTGCATAATTTGTGTTGCATAACATTTTGCGATTATTGACCTGCTCATGATCAGATTTGCCAATTGGGGAATCAAGCTCCAATTTGTCGAGTAAATTGGGGTCCGGAGTAATTACAAGATCAAGAGTTGACGGAGCGTCGTTCTCTCGGAAGCGTGTGTGTTCTTCAACAAATTGACTAAGATTACAATCTGACAAAAAATCTAGGAACATGTATTCCATGGAAGTGGGGACAAAGTCGTTTAAAGTAACAGGCCAGGATATTCTTGAGAAATTAAAGTCGCCAGCAATAACAGGGTTGAGGGAATTTGTGACAAAATTGTTCATGGATTGTAAGAGCTGAAGATTAGAATCATTATCATTATCGCTCGGCCTGTATACACAGGCGACTGAAAAACTAAAATCAGGACTGGTAAATGACAGACAAACAGCATCCCCCATCTGACCCATCATTAAATCTAAGAGCAACGTAAACACAAGCGCCGCCACCCCGCCTGCTAGGTCGATCGGAACGATAAATTGTATATCCTGGAATAGATATTCTATAGCTTGCCCCTATTTTTTTTGGCACTAACTAACTAAAACTAACATTTTGGCTAAACAAAAAAAATAATTAGGAGGATTTCACTCAAAAACACTGAAACTTCTAGAAATAAAATAGTAAAATCTTATATCAAAAGTTAATTTTTTGTTAGTAACTTTAAGAAACGCCAATGTTCACTATTATTAAATTATTTGAAAACTTCGAGGTAATTCCCGCCCATTCGACGAAGAATAATGAAGTGTTAAGTCACTTTGCAGCCGTTGTTCATAATTAAAACTGTAACGATCTAGTTTCTAGAGAATTCTCTTAGCAGAAATAAAAAGAACGGATAATTATTTATCCCATAGTTACGTCCGCATTCAAAGCGTTCATTAATTTTTATTTTACGTTCAATATTAGGGTTCCCAAAAGAACAAGAACGTAATTTTGAGTAGTAACATTGTTTTTGAATTTTAACTCTTTCACGGCTAAATGGGTTCCGGTAATTAAGTAAATTTTGTTTTCCTCGCAGCTTTTATGGAACGTTTGAGGATCCAAATCAACATTCACGTTTAATGGTCGGTTTACAATTTGATTAGTAGCAAGTGCACGTATGTATTGCTATTGCTTAATTTTTAAAATATGCGAATGTTAATTTACCATTTAATTAATTAATTAACCAAAACGATGATTGCATATAACCAAACCTAGATTTGAACCACCAAAAAGTGAATGCACATTTGAAGTAAGTGAAGTTTTCATGTGATTTAGTGGCATTGTCGGTACAATTTGTTTTTGATAATCGACAGTGAAATTAAAAGAAGGGGGGGTGTGGTCATTTTTAAAGAGGTTAGCACTGGTGCGCTATATTAGTGGTTTCCAAACTGTAGATATGCCCACCCTTTCAGGGTTAACCATATTCGAGTTTGGCTCGAAAACAGATTTATTTTTGACTATTAAATATCGCCTTAAAATCTTTGTATTTAATTTTGAAACACCTCGTATAAGAGCAATCGTCGGAATAATTCAAATTCTTTCAGTTTTAACACTAAATACTCAAAATTATATGGACAAGTTTGGTTTTATATCTCTCGGTTCGATTTTAACGAATTGAAAACGTTTAATAATATCCGCTAGTTTCGCATCATCGGCTTGAGTTCTTGATACACTCATAAATATGGCACCGTTAAAACATTTTTCAGTAACAGTCAAGAAATAATATAAGCTTAGCTATATCTACAACTTCGAAAACGAACCGCTCACCTTTTTCGGCAGTTAACTGTTTCTCTGGGAGTCGCAACGTGGACGCTTGAATTATAACCGGCTCACTACGGCCTTTGGAATTGTACGCTGATACAACTGCCTGGTACTGTTCTCCCGGTACTAAATTGTTTACTGTGAATCTGGCAGCTGACGAAGTCAGATTACTCCTTATGTCTTGACTGTGGCTTTCCCTAACCTGCAAGGTGTAGTTTTGTGGTTAGTAAAAAATAATAAAATTTAAACGAACTGGAACACGAAGCCACTTTTCTGATTGTCTCGCACTCTTAGTTAAGTAAATGTAAATGACAAAATAAACGCTGAGCATGTTTCAAAAATTAAAGATTGATTTTTTATTCGGCAAACTAACATATCATCGCAAAGGATGCTGATAAAATAAATCAATATTGAAGTGCTTAATACAAAAGAAAATTGTAGGGCAATGATGATGAGTTAATAGATTTTAAAAAATGCTACGGAGAATAACGAACAAAGCTGACAGGGGTTTTTTCTAGTTTTGTTTTTACTGAAGTTAATACGTAGGCCTGAAGGAATCTAAAGACACTAAATAATTACTGGGGACTTACTGCCCTTCCTTGAATATCCACTGATAGATCGATCAAATAACATTCAAACAGCCTGTCATGAACGAATCGTTCGTGTGCGAAACGTTTTACTATACTAAAGTTTAAAATTGAATTAGACCAAAAGGGTTTTAAAATAGCAACACAAAATGTTTCCCAACATTTTCAATTGCTTATAAAAAAGAACTGCTCCATTGATATATTTGGAAACGTAATATACTCTGAAAAAATATAGATATTTTTGAGTAAAATGGAGTAAGACTGAGTAAACTTTCAAAGACTAACATGGTTAAATTTCGAGTAGACCATATAAAGGGTCGTCAAGAGAAATAAATAAAAAAGAACACTTACCTCCAATAAAAACGCTTGTGTGAGTCCCCCGTTAAAGCCTTCGGAGCATCGGATGGATAACGAGGTCATTGATATGTTCATTACGGTGCAGTTGTGAACCTGGTCTGGCCGGCCTGTAGTAGTGGAGATTAATATAAACGTTTCAAATGTCAATGGAAAATACATTAACAACAAGAATACATAGTGCAAAATCTATTAATAATAAGAATAAATAATATCGTCATATTGAGTACTGGCATAGCAATTACTCATCCTACCCAGTAACCGTCTACCTACAATGTCATTTAGTAAAAGCTGAATTTCGTACCAGAAATTGCCAATGTTTATTTTGTATTTTGACCCAGATATTTTACCAGTACAAAAACAAGTAAACCAACAGTTTTGGTTTCGAATACATTCGAATAAAATTTTGGTTTACACTTATTGTAGTACGTATTGTACGTATGATACGCCCTTATTAATAATCAATAACGGTTTCAATAGCAAATCTCAAGGTGTTAACCGCTGCAGAATACTTTCTATAAATTGAATAATAATTTTATCTGAATTGTATTGTTATGAATACATATTTTACATATTTGTATATGATCATTTTGGGTAGGTAAGAAAGCTTTAATATTTGACATAAAGTAGTCAAAACTAACCAAAGTTTACATTGAAAATGACTTTTAAAAACTGAAAATTGTAAACAGGGAAGATTCTATTTTGAGTGAGACACTTAAAATAATTCTTGGCTATTGACTAACCAAAACTAACCAAAACTAAACCCCCTGTATATCCCAAGTGGGTTCTTGAAAGTGCCCTCAACCTTATATTTCTTAATTCAGAATACAAATATCTATTCAGGGAGCTAAAAATATACAGGGGTTCATAAATTCCCAAATTTACATGCAAAAAGGTCTTTTAAGATTTGAAAATAGCAAGTAGAAAAGATTAGAATCTTCGAGTCAGTCATTTAAAATGATTCTCCACTATTCACGAACTAAATTATCTGCATCTCTCAAACGGGTTCTTGAAATAGTCCGCAACCTTGTTTTTTTTTAACCCAGAATACAACAAAATGTTCAGGGAGCTAAAGATATACACGGATTCATTTACAGCGGAAATTAAGATGGTGTCGTATCTTTGACATTTGACAGATAACACCATTCTGAATCACCTATTCGGTTTCCTAGCCTAAATTTACATGGAAAACATCTTTTAAAATTTAAAAAAAGGCAAATAGGGACGGTTCTATTTCGAGTGAGATACTTAAAATGATGTTTCTGTACAATTTTTTTTTTATTAGTTTAGGTAATTGTTGCGTAATTAGTTACTAAATATGAGTTTACTAAATTTGACTAAAAATAAAAAAACATGATTTAAGAACAAATATTAAAAACATATTCGCGTCTAACACCAAGCGGAAGATTTATTTCATTATTATGCATATGTAAGACCTGTGATTCCGCTTAAAAACAATAATTAACCTATCTAAAGCTATTTACACAACATAAGTTCAGTTAAAACCTAAGATTTCTATTTTGTATTCAATAACGCCTAAATTTTTATAAAAACAGAGTTCCACGCTTGTTTGTCAGTTAGTTAACAAGAAACCCCGTAACGCGCAAAGATAAGTGTGTAAATAGTTAGTAACTCTGTTATTTTGGACTAAATAATTTTAAAATTCCGTTAGGTTTTACTCGGAGTGACTTGTTTAATTTCACCGTTGCGTTTGTCGAACATGAACTTTTTTTTGTCGATTAAAAACCGGAAGAATAATTATATTCAAGAAAATAAGGTGGTATATATTTAATTAACACTTGAAACAATAATAATTATTTTATTCGGAGCATGTGCTGTTATAAATAAAACTCAATGTTCACAATGAATCACTACAATGAAATCAATCAACAATTATAAACAAATATTGCAAATAGAACAATCGAGGACGGCTGAAAGTGACAACTGAAATGACAAACAAACCTCAATCTTTCGACAGTAATAATTAACGATACCAACAAATGCGAAATAATTTAATTAATTAATAGAAAATCTCGGTTGAGGCAATAAACAGATGAAGAACATACTCTCGCAGTATCTCGGTCTTAAATTGGCATCCATAAAACGTTACGCTAACGGTAAAATTATACAAATTGTTCTGACCTTTTTCTTGCCTTTCCTCGATCGTATTAGCATCCGAAATATCGCCCTTGACGGTAGCCACATTTCGGGTGTAAAATTTTTCCGCTCCAGTTTGTTATTCTGTCGGCTGCCAGTTGCATAAAGAGGTTAAGGTACGCACTTGGGAACAACTAGTGGAGTGCTGCTGCATACATTGCAGGAAAAGGAAAAAACAGCAGCTGTTTTTCGTTAGTCCGCGAACCGGTGCAGCTTTATTGCAACACGTAGATGCAAAATTACAAATTAGTAAATTTGTTTTTGGATGCCATAAATTCATGGCATAAAAACAACCACAAAGCTTTTTACAATTTAGCTTAATTAAATTGTTAAAAAATAAAAACTAAAAATGGGGTGCAGTTTGTGTACCCCATATTTCAAGTGTTTAAAGGATGTGATCACGGTGGTTATGTGCTTGAATTACGTTTTTAAATAGAACACCCCGGATATTATATCATTTGCATCCTCTAATTTACTTATTTATTTTTTTATGTGGAATACGTTTTACAGCAAAAAATATTATTCTTTAGTATTTGGTAAAACATAAAACTGTGAATAGATTTTTCGGTACACATGTAGTTCCTCATTTGGGATTTGAGAAAATACATATTAGCTTAGGAACTCAAAGACGTGGGATTGAAATACAATATATTTGCCACCAACTCTAAATATGAACAAAAATTTGGAATTTTGTGGTTATCAAAATAAACATTTCAAACTGATTTTTGATTTTGTTGGTATATCTAAAGTAACATCCTAGCTGGTAGTATCAGTAAACCAGCGTACTAATTGCTTTATTTTTAACAAAATGATTCGATTTAATTTTTTGTTGTTCCAGTATGTCTCAAAAATTGCATATGCATTTCCTGTTGGGTATAGGTATTTAACCTACCTACCAAAATAAAAATTGTCATTTTGATAACGAAAAAACTACAGTTCTAAATGAATTCTAAAATTCTGAAAATGAATACAACTTATTACTTAAAAAATAAAATAAAATAAAAAAGACAAACTGGGTCATTCCTAACAAAAACATGATACTACAAGAAGTGCTTAGAGAGTGGTTAATATATTTTAATATTTAAAAAAAATATATATTTTCCATAGCATGCATACTGATATTATTTTATTTTTCTAATTGGTTAAGGCAAACAATTTAGAGTTCTGGCTTATGTAATATTTTACTTTTATGATGTATTCTCACGTCATAAACAAACGAACAAAACATGATGGTCTTAACTTATGCTAATATATAAATATATGGATAGGAGGCACAAAGACACAAAGTACCTAAATTAATTCACAAACGAACAATATGTGTTGTTCCTTTTTAGAGAACTTTATTTGGTTAGTTTGTAATTTGCAATCTTTCTCACCGTGAAAAAATAATACAACAAAAATCACAATAGTCCTACTCGCAGCAATTTCAAAAAAGGTTTATCATAATTGTCGATGAATACACGTGTAAATGTTATGAATGAGATTTTGGTGCTATGATACATTTATTCTAACATATTTTTGCTACTCCCTTCTATAAAATGTCCAATTATACACCGATCTAGGGTACGGAAAGTGTCATTTAACACGTCAGATTCATTTCCCACGGATCCGAGCCACTTCGGACATTTCCGGGATATTAGGACACTGGTTCGGGAGGAATCGGATGTTTTCGGAGATCTTACCGCATTCTGAGGTTAATTTTAGGGAATGTATTCGTGTTGTTTTACATAAATGGATCTGAAAATTAACGATCGTAGAAAACGTACAGTTTGGTAATAGTATATTATGCGGTAAACGACATTTGACTCACGAGTTTATTTGACACGAGCGAAGCGAGTTTTTAATAAACGAGTGAGTTAAAAAGTTTACCGAACGTGTTGCTATACTACTATATACTATACTTTTTCTACGACCGTTAGTTTTGGGGTACATTTTAGCAAAACAACACGAATACATCCACTGAAATGACCGTCACAATTGACAAATGTCAAAATTCAAGGCTTGGGAAATATCTCCGAAAACATCCGATTGGTTCCAAGTGGCTCGGATCCGTGGAAAACGAAACTGACGTGGTAAAGTGGCGCTTCCCGCACGCTAGATCGAAGTGTAATTAGGTATTTTACAGACGGGAGTAGAAAACCTTTTCAAGTCACTCGTTTATTAAACACTCGCTCCACTGCGCTCCACTCCTGCCAAACACACTCGTGCCTCAAAAGCCGTTCACCACACTTGTTGCGTAATATCTATTGTCAAAGATACTCAGTCATGCACTAATCATTTATCAATGAGTGTCTGAAGAAGTTTATAAACGAGTAATATGGGACGTGACTATCAGAACTGACCAAATTAGCGGAAACGCTCGAATTGGCTGGCGACAGTATTTAATGAGGCTGTTATTTGGCACTCGTGATTAGTGCATAATTGGGTCTTTTAGAGTAAAAAAAAAAGTTAAAACCACGGATCATAACACTAAAACAGTTTTTTTGTGATTACAGCGCCATTTACCGAGAGTTCAAAAGAAAACTTCGGAGAAAGTTTGACGTTTTCGTTGCATAGCATCGGAATCTGTATTAAAAAATGCGGGTTTCCACATATAGCTATTAGACATATAGAGGGCCCGCCCATGCTAATTGTATAGGAACTCCTTAAGCAACCGTCACGAAATTTTGAGGGCTGTTAAATATGCACATGTACTAGATTTGAAATATTGTTTTTAACCAATGGCAGCTTTAATTGCAAATTCTGACGTTCGAGCCTAAGGCCTTGCCTTGCGGCTGCCAACAACCAACCATAACCGCTGCCAGGTCGTCAATGTTTGCATGCTGCATTTTTACGCCAATATTCTCTCAAAATATATCGAAATCCCATTAAATTTTCAGGCAAAAAAGGAATTAAGGTGTAGAAAGTGTTGCTAAAGAAATTAGCGACAAGTGCAGAGTTAATGTTATTCTGATTTACAGCAGACGGATCGGTGTCCTTAGTATAATTTTTGAACGTATTTTAATGTTTTGATTCTTTAAGCGCTATAGGTAGCAGCTAATTTTTCCCGAATTTGTGCCCTTAAATCGACACAAACAGTTTGTTTTTACAAACTTAGGTTAACCATTATTCAAAATGTAAATAAAGTCGAATTCACGAAATGTGACCCTAAAAAACTTTTAGGTACTAATATCGCACTGGAAACATCTAAATGGAAAAAATGTTTCTTTCATCGCAAGTCTAGTAATTGCAGAAAGTTTCGCCTCCCAAATATATTATGAAAAGTACCAAGGGACAATTTCGTTAGGCATGTAGGTATTGGAAAATATAACCAAGAAATGTAAAAACTATTATAAAACAAGTCAATAAACAATTAGCTCTACATGTAACAGAATTAACATTACCAAACGCTAAAGAATGTCGTTTATAGTCTCAAAATTTAAAAAACATTTTGCTAGCAAAAATTGCATTTTGGCTACTGCAAAAAATTCCCCGTCAAAAATATTTAACAGCAATTGTTAAATGTTAAAATAAAAATAAAATGTAGAATTGCATTGTGTCTACCGGGCTTTAAATACTAGTATCAATTCACACAATAATTTGACTTGAAATAACCAAAAATTTCTTTTTCAGAAATGCTCAGAATTTTTTTAAAGTGTAAGCTCACATGGAACATTCTAAAAGAAAAATTGTCTTATTAAGAAATATTTTTTTCCAGATGCACACTGTTTTGTAGACAAGATTGTGGTTTATGTCACAACTACGACTTATCTTTAATTACACAAGCACTTTATATAGTGTTTTATTAACTCGTTTTGAAGTTCACAGAAGATATAGTTGGACAATGTAAAAATATAAATGAATAAATACATGAATTATTTAATAAGACCTTTATTGAAAAGAATAAAGTACATTGTGGCTTACAAATACAATAAGAAATTAAATAGAAATAAACGCTGCATTTTTTAATAGCATAATAATATTTATTTTTTATTTGCACAATGGCGTCCGACATAAGATACTTCAGTGTTACTCTTTTCAAGGAACTTTTTTATTACTTTATCACCACCTTTAAAAATTGCAAAAAAGAAGATGTAAGCAATAAAAAAAATATTCCTTTATAATACATTAAACTATTTTTAATTATTAGTATAATAACTAAAGCAAAAATTTTATTAACTGTAAATTCGAAATAAAATTTAAATCAGAAGTACTTTACTTGTTGACAATATGTTACTGTGCCTTAAGTTCTTTTTAAAAACTGATGACCGCTGGTTATTATGTGCCAGGCTTCTCTATAACTTGTAATGTTGTTTTCAAGATTAAAGATCTGCTGGTGTCTGCTGAAATAAAGCCCAAAAACATCCCCGTATCAACAAAAATTTCTCATATGTTCAAGATGGAAAATTTTCCGTCACAAATTATGCAGGAAAAATATAAATATTTTAGACCGAAACAAAGTTGGTAACATATTGATAAATTTTATCAGTCGGGTTGGAAAAAAAAGGGACCATTTGGCATTGTAAATATGGGTTGGCCATTAAGTACCATCAGCACATAGAATGGCAAGAAAACAAGTCACCCGATTTACAACTGTTCACAATATCTACCTAAAAGACACTGCACTGCCTACTGTACCAAGTGTTTACCACCTCTTCTATAGCTTAAAGGAGTGATATGGATGCTCTATTAAAACTATCAGCCTCCCTGGCAGCTCCATTTTTGACAAGGAATGTTATCCATTGTTTCCTTACAATTTCATCTTTTGGTAAACTAAAAAATAAATTGTAAATTGAATGACACTACACAGATATGTGATTAATATATCAAAACTAGGCATATATGCAAGTCTACAAAAAAAACCTAACCTACAAATAAAGTACCCCAAAATTTTGAATAGTTACCTAGAATTCCTGGTAATTCTCAAAAATTTCCTGTAATGACTTCCCAAAAATATCCTGCAGATTTATAGTTTAGATTCCTCCTACTGCAGTTGCAGCTGAACTGATTCTGGTAATTTCCCATTTTCTGCGGTAATAATTTCTGTAATTTTTGACCACCCAAAAGGCAATTTCATTTTCACTAAATGTGATGACAAACGAAAACTTTCCCACAGTGAGTTTTACAAGAATTTGTAATTGTCAAGGAGTATTTCTTGTGATTGTTAGTAGTAAAACTTGCAGCTTAATTGTTTTCTTATATTTCCTGTAATTCTTGTACACTAAAACATATTACCCAAACATTTTTCCTATGTAGCTATTTAAGGGTACCTTGCAGTTTGTTAAATCACTCGGGTTTGTCTAAGATCCTATTAGGTCCTCATACTTGCCACACTTGTAATTTAGTTTGTGAGTGGGAGTCCTATAGAAACCACTTATCAATGCTTTAAATTAACTTGTACATAAGGCAATACTTACCCGTATGTAGGCACATTGTTTTCCTTACACTTTTGACCACAAACACAACACAAAAAAAACGAAAAAGGTACGGAGAGAATCATAACCACCAAAAATGTAAACAACAATGGCACAGACTGTTAATATTCTCTGGTAGTAGCAATTTCTAGCTCGGCGTTGCCAATCATATTCGACTTTCAGAGACTGATTTCGCGTTCTTATTAAAATTAGTCAATTTTTTTTAAAAAAATTACGGCAATGTGGCAACTCAGTTATTTGGAGGTGACGCATGCGCAATAGATTCACACCTTCTCTACGAGAATATCATAGTCACTTGCGGCGCATCACTTTTTACCGTAGTAGGGCCACTTTATTATCTAATAGCTATATGGGTTTCCATTTGATTTCAAAGTTTCATGTCATGTCTGGCGTTACTGAACAGTTTTTTTATTCAAAAGCATTTATTTATTTACAGGCATTTATAGGATTGTAGGAATATAAAGTCCTCCTGACTAGGCGGAATAACCAGATGACCGGCTGTACTTAGGAAATTAGGTCCCCAAATTACACCCAGGTCGCTGTAAGCACATGTTCAAAATCATATCGAAATTTTATTACTAAAATATAATTTTTCAAATAAAAACTCTTACCAGTCAAACAAAACAAAAAAAGCACACGTATTTATTATCAGAAAAAAATTTGGTACTTCTAAGAAATACAGGAATATAATTATTTGCAAAACATAGTGCTCTTATATATTTTTTTAAATCCAGGGATTTATTACACCGAAGGAGCGCAATACAACAAAAGTTGTAATTATACAGTAATTACATATGAGCACGATTTAATCGATAAATCGAAGAGTTCTATTTTCAATTTGGAAACTCCCATCATTCTAGACGTCTATTACCGAAACCTTCACGTCCATTAATATCTGACATTAGTATAAAAATAACTCAAGAGCGAGTCTATTATTTCTAGGTAAAGAATGCTTTTCATTCTTTCCCATTACAAAGGACGGATGAATGAGCGCACTTCTAAAACCTTTTGTACTTACAAATATTTCCAGAGATCGTTTTGGGAAAACGCCACGGACGTCAACAAGATATATTACTTTTGCATGTTCAGTTCGGCGTTTTTTCTTTTTTTGATATTTTTATGTAAAATTCTGAAGTAATTAATAAAACTTTTGCGATGCGGAAACGGTGTTAAAAGGGCTTTTTTATAAAACGAAACGGCTGATGCACCTTTCAGAAGTTTAGGGGAACAGAATTTTCATCAATATTTCTGCATGTTAACCTTGCCAATACCCAAAATTATTAGTACATAAAAAAATTGATTATGCTATTGTTTCGTACGAATTTGTTGAAATTTCAAAAAATTATACATATATCATTGAATAAGAACCTTCATGCCAAATGTAAAAGCTAAACAGAAAATTAAAATGAAATGAATAAAATAATTAAAATAAATACAGCGTGCACAGGAAAAAACAAAGTGGAATAACTTCGAATTGCCATCTAATTTATTGCAATATTATTTCCTATATAAAACATGGCTCAGAAAATATTTTATTTTTTCAGTTTTTGAAAAGAATTACAAATAAGCTACGACGTCCTATGAAAAATGATACTTAATAATAATAAATTTCTCCAAAATTTTGTCACATTTACTAATAGTTTGTGAGATTCTAGTCCACCAGTGGACAGTGTATTGCATTTAGGTTTCAACAAAGGCTTTCTTCGAGGCTAGCTAAAATAATTAAAAAATGGAAAATGTATATAAATTTTTATTATTTTTAACTAAATAGTTTCTATGGATAAGAAAGCCGCTTTAATTTTTTGGGTACGTATCAAAATTATATTCTAATAATATAATATAATAAATAGAAACGATTATAAAACATAAGTTGGAGGCATTTTGGGGTTTGAAAGCGAACATACATATGTAAAAGCTATCTAGGAACGAAAAAATTATATTTGCAAAGTGTCGTGAAAATAATATAATTTATTAATTTATTCCGATCGCCCATTTGTTGGAAAGCGAGACTAGATTCCAAATTAGATTAAAACTCTAAACTGAATTTACTCCGTTGCTCTGTGGTGCGGTAAAGTAATAAAATACAAATCCCTTAAATTTAATTGGGCAGAAGATGTCTAGTGCGGCCATAAAATACCATCAAATTAATTGAAACGGCGGTAAAAATGATAAAACTTTATAAAGGGTCAAATAGCACGATTCTGTTTAATCAACAATACGCGATCTTTATTTCATTGACTTCTGTTCTGTAAAATTTTAGGTGCACCTACCTATCTAGCTACTAACAAACTAACAAAAAATGTTCCTGACAAATCGTTTCTTATGAAACCTTAATTATGCCAGAAAGTAACTCGAACCGAATATTATTTTTTTTTTCAAAGAAACTTCCACAGGCTACTGTAATACTTTTTACAAAACTTCTGAATTCCTCCTGCTCCGTTTTGTGCTGAGTTGAACTTGCTGACGTTTCGCCAATCATCCGTTTGGCTTCTTCAGAGCTTGACTGAAACTGGCTCGCATTTTACTCTGTACCTGGTTATATATTATTTTAGGGGGGCGGAGCTAAATGAGGGGCATAAACACCGTCTCGGATGACTCATTCCCATATTGGTTAAGATTGTTAGGTTGTTTATAGATTTCTATAGACTCTAGGATTTTTCGTTGGTAGAACTGATTACATGCAAGAATTTTATAATCGAATAAAATTTTATGTCCGGTTTCATGAGTCTGTTCGGCAACAGCTGATGAGTTTATTTGTCTTAGTCGTAAGGCTCTTTTGTGTTCTTTGAGTCTAGCTGATATTTATCGTCCGGTCTCTCCAATGTATTATTTGCCGCATATGCATGGAATGCCGAATATTATTTCAATAGTCATTCGAGAAACACCCGTTTGCAAAGAGTAACTGAAAACAAAGATTTCATATAAACTCTTCATCTTATCTTTTGTATTTTACATTTTCATTGAAGGATGTAAGCATATTGTACCACCGCTTACACTTACACTTCATTTTTTTGGTTTGCTAGTCGATGTGGTTGGTTTCTGATCTAACACAAGTCGAAATTCACACCGCACCTACAGAATGTTTTTTCACTAAGGGGTAATGTAGTCTGGAAATTTCACTGTACAAAACTCCACTACCAGTACGGACAGGGTGGGTTGATTTATTAAATGTCATCTTATTTCAGAAAATATACAAGATACAATAAAGAGTTTAATACGAAAGTTGTAATGATTATTCCATTGTTTTTAAGCGCTGTTATAAATTTATAGAAGGTTGAATCAATTTTGCAATAGAAAAATGTGTATTGTCAATATTTCTAAAATAAGTAAGGAGGTAACATTTTCGAAACAGTACAAATTTACATTATTTCTTATTGCGTAAATAATATAATCATAAATTTTCCCAATTTTGTTATTTGTTTGATTGAATTATAATTATAAAAAATGCAACTAACCTTTACATTTGGGTGCAATGGGTCTACTCCTTCAGGCGGAACAGAAATATTTAATTATTTTAAGTAAGTAAAGTAAAATTCAAGTAATATTTATTTCAGCAATTAGATCATACATTGCGCACACTTGCTAAGTCTAATGCAACTTAACTTACTAGGTGTGGCCAAGTTCGTATTAATATTTAAATTAAATTACATTATTCTTAAATTTATCACTCACTTGATTTTATTCACAGTTAATTTGTGACTTCTAGAATGCCACAGTCAACACTAAACAACCAGGAGTTAAAAAGCCTCTTATATATTTTTATATATATTATAGGCCCTACAAACAGAAGACTTCTCTGCACTGGCATGGCCTGACTTGATACAATTCTGGTTTGTTCTGAATGAATTATTGTTTCTTTAAGGATATTGTTAAGACTTATTAGCCCGATGATTATTTTAATGAACATTTTGTTAATTCTTAGTACTTTCGCTTCAGTAAACAATTCTTTAGAATGATATAGTTTGTTTTTGAATAATATTATTTTTAAAACACGTTTCTGGCTAATTGCCTGTAAAAGAGTTCCAGTACGCCGAGCACATACACCATAAGATAAAATTGATTCTAATAAAAATTTATATATTCCAATAAGGGAACTCCTTGAAAAAGTAAGATTATTATTGCTTGCTACTAACTTATGTGTTGCGCCAAAAATTTTATACTCTATTGGAGTCGAACAAGGTTAACATAGTCTATTATGACTCGTTCAAAAAATCTTTCAAAAATCAATTTGGCATAGTATGCGCTTTGCATACGTTCTTAGTTGGACAAAGAACTCATACCATCCCAACAAACATTGATAAAATAACTATCGTTATATTTTACAATCTCTTCTAAATCGATTACAAAACTTCGAAAGTAGAACAATGCATTTAGGGATATTTTTTTTTTACTTTTTGGTAGAACTTATGTAATGATCGCACTTACATTTCGTGTTAATCTTTAAGCAATAAAAATTATGTATTTTTATTGTTTGCAAGCCTGGAGCACCAGTTTTCGTCATGGAAAAAATAATGAATTGGGTTTTCTCTAAATTAAGTGATAATAGGCTATAATATAGCAATTTTTTTTCAGAACTAGTAATTTTGTCCGCCATTGCAAAGGCTTCTTTCGAAATGTTTTCAACGATAATCAATCCTGCATCATCCGCATTCATATAAAATGTAAGAAAGACTGGCACCAGAAGAGAGTGGCTCAGAGTGTCACCTACTTTAAATCTTTGCAATCTATCTTATAGGTATGATTTACCTCTGATACCTAAGTCTTCGAGTCTCCCAGCAAGATACGGTGCGACATGTCCTGGTCAAGTCGAGAAAAACCGTAATACAGTTTTTATATATACAGTGTCCTGTTAAAAAAAAACATTGACTCTAGATATGTCCAGTTACATATTTGTATAACTTGCGTTTAACTTTTTGTCGCAACAACATAGTTGTCCTGTAGGAAATTCATCTTTAAATTAGAAGAATTGGCACCGATCCTACTTAAAAAGCAATGTTGTAAATTCCAAATTTGCGTAACTTCATTTGACGTTTTCAACAGCGAAAATTAAGTTTAACATATTACAGAGACCGAATATAATATGCTGC